GTATTTTGTTAATATATGTATTGAGATTTTGAAATGTGACGAAATTTTTGAACTCCTCCTAACTCATGTCACACTTGTCGACCAGCCCCTTAATGTGTGACGTAATTTATTTACTAGCTACACCAAACAGGTTATCAAAAGAGTAATTTTTAAAATGTGTTTATTCATTTTGTAATGTGACAAAATTTATGAACTCGTCACACTTTGTCGGCCAGACCCTTAATGTGTGACATTTATTTCCTAGATACACCATACAAATCATCAAAAGTGTATTTTTTAATTATGTATTTTAATTTTGAAATGTGACGAAATTTATGAACTCCTCCCAACTCTTTTCATACTTTGTCGACCAGCCCTTTAATGTGTGACGTAATTTATTTCCTAGCTCCAACACCATCGAGGTCGTCGAATGAATGAATGAAGTAATCAATTACAAGAATTTATCCACTTTCTCAACCCGACCGACGAGTAATAGTGAAATGCACGAAGCAAATGCAGGAACAATCTAAATCTTTACACTAAGTGAACAGGCTAATTGTTAAAATGGCTGCAAAGGCGATGGAATGTCCCTATAAAGACGGTGGAACTGACATATATAACTTTGGCTAAAAAAACAATAGAATTATCTTTTTGTCTTTTATGTGAAAGAATATTTGTATCGTTATGCAAGCGACCTGTCTTTCGTACGGATACAACTTATTATTATAGAATATATTATAGCTATCTACTATTTATTTAGTATAAAATATATTTAATTTTCTGATAATGTAACTTTCTATATGTAAAAAAAATCGCTTAAGTAATTTGCAAAACATTCGTACTCTAATATTAGATCAGGCAATGCCATCTGGCGGCAAGAACTGTATTTACCTGTCATAAATTGAATTCATATTTTTAAAGTATACTATACTTCATAATATACAAATTCAACATATAATTATTTTAAAAATACTAACATTGCTCTGACTTATTGTTACGTTACAAAAGAAATTTTATAGCGTATCTATAAAATTTCTTTTGTAACGTAACAATAATATATATTTTTAATTTATATTTATCCATCCCAAAAACTCACAATAATGCAAATGTTTGGTGTTATCACTCACTCTACTCCATTATTAAGATATTAAAATAAATAAGCAGCGAGATAAATACTATTAATTAACAATAGTGCCCATATTTTTAAAAATAGATACGATTTTTTATTAAATATAAATTTTTATTAAATAGTATAAATTAAAGTCGTGCCGCTGTCCGTTCGCTTATATCTTCAGCTATAAATAGAGTGATTCAAGAGGAAAAAGAAGAACCGAGAAATTCAGAGATTTGTAAATCATGCGTGCGAAGCTGGGATTGGTCGCTAGTATAATATAAACTGTTATCATATGATACCTATCTAGAGTTTCTTTATTCTACCAACAACAGTGTCGTGCAACGTTCCCGTGATTTAGCCTTAACGACCGGCACTGTTTACCGTCATCACGCGATGCCACTGTATCTTGTGACGGTGACTATTGTAACTTAGTTTACAGCAAACTCAGATTTAGATAAATGGGGATTATTAGTAATGGTCTCCATTGTTAGCAATGTACCTTGTCAGGCCGACCACCTCGCGGTGTTAAAGATATCTAAAATTTAACTACATTTTTTTGGTACTTGCACCAAAAAGTTTGACCGCAGCTGGCCTTTCCCGTTTCACCGAACTATAATGATGATTATGATAATAATAATAGTTTTATTAACTCATTATAAATATAAATAAAATGGAGGTACAATGTATAATTTAAGTAAATTTAATTTGTGCGAGTTTGGTGCCAATCTAGGTAGACTCTGTGGTACAGGTTACCAGATTCTCACCCACTGACAGGTGACCGACCTTCATGCTCATTCTTTCATTTTCCATAGGTATCTTGCCAGTGCATAACATAGAATAGTCCACAATATAGAATAGTTATTTCTTAAAAAGGACTCCCCTCAAATTAAATATAAACATGGTTGTTAATTACCACTTCCTAACAGATATTTCCTAACTTATATTTATTAGACAATTTTAAAAATAAAATACGTCAATTAAAATTTTCATACCACTAGCGCCATCTATGTTAATAACACTGAAATACTTCCACACAAACTGATAGCACCTTAGGCATGATGCATGACATTCACAGAGAAAGCAGATTAATTTGATAACCCTTAAGCCTCAAATTCAATTGCTGTTTAAAAAGTATATGATATAATAAAAATGTATTTATTAAGTGACACAAACGATTTATTTAATAGAAGTTAAAACCTTGTCATATTTATGAACTGGATATGATAGATGGCTCTTAAAAAAACTATTAAATTTGTTTTTTAACATATTTTTGTTAATCAACAACATTTGTAGATATTAGGCACAACAATGTTTAAATAAAAATATAGTGTTGAAGCATTCCGAGAAATAGTCTTCTAGTCTCTATACTAAATTGTGATTTTTATTTATTGCAATTAATAAAATACTAAAACCTAAAAAAATCTGCATTAAGAGTATGGTCCTTGTAAAGTAATAGCTCAGTGTCCTGATCATAATGAGGTGAGTTCCAGGTACACACAAGTATATCTTAAGCAAAAGTATCATAATTATAGTTAAAATTAACTTATGTAAATCCCAGCTGTATTCTAATAAATGAGTTTTTGAAAATATTAGACAATACAATGTTAAATATTTAATAAGAAAAAACAATTTCAATAATTAACATTTGTAGGTACTTTCACTGACTTCCATGATTTTAACTTATGTCCTCTTCTTCAAAATACTTTAAATTATTAAAATCACAAATTCTTTCTGCACAGAAAAAAGTAAAAAGTAATTAACAGCAGAATAGAAATAAAAAAAAAAGACTTTAAAATCTATATGAAGAAGAAAAATTTTTACAATTATGATATCAATGTTGATTATAATATTATTATTACAATAATTTCAATTCTCACATTGCCAAACACTTATATATTAAAAAAATAAATATATTCACCTTGGATCCAAATAACCACTTAAACATAATTAATTTTAAGGCAAGATGACACTGTACTATTTCAAATTGAATTTCAAACTGAACTAGCCCATGTCAACAGTTACCCCCATTGTTTTGTTTTAAATGTTACCTACATTTTAGAAAGCTAAATTTCAGAACAAGTTAAATTGTACTTTGTGTTTTCACTTATTAGTATAAGTGAAAACACATACATAAATTATTACATTTATACATATAATATATAAAGAATATTGTGAAAAGTGTAAACAAAAATAATGATAAAGTAAATATAAAAATGCTTAAGTTTTATAATAGTAATAATAAAATATACAAACTTTTTAAACTAGAATTATTAAACTTTTATTGTAGATTTAATTAAATTACAACTTTAATGCAATATTGTATTAAGTGTGTGAAATCATAGACTGCCAGTAATAATAAAGTATGTATTTTCCTTTAAAATTAGTACTATTAATAAATAACTAGCAAAAAAAATTACTACTACTATTAAAAGAAAAGAAATATTATGTAAATAAATTGATGGGCTGATACATATATATAAATGACTTCAAGTGAAAGCAGATAGTGAACATCTGAGGTCAAATTCCAGAATACTGAGAAATAATAAATACCTATTTATATTAAGTAATATACTTTATCAGTATGCCATAGAGGTTATCAAGGTATTATGGAATACATTGCTGGCATTATTACGGACACGTTTTTTTTTTTAATTTTAAAAAAACCTTTAGAAAAGGCTTGGACGTATCATAAAGACAGCTGTTTACTATTGTGATGATTTAACTTACTAGAATAGATTTTATAGCGAGCTAACCATCTATTTAAGCAATAAAATATCCATGGTACTGATTAAATATCTAATTATACTGTTTTTTAATTTCTCAATGTTAAAAAGGTCACTTTTAGAATAAATTTCATAAGATTGCTTTCTAAGTAGAAACATCGGATTAGCATTGTTTACTATCTTGCGAATACCTTATCAAAAAAAGACAAAATGTATGTATTGGACACAGAACAAAGGAAACAAATGTTTTCTATCGACTCAAGGTTGTTAAAAGATGTTAAAGTATATATCTAACCACCGAAAATGTAGCAATCAAATGTCACCTCGTTATAATCAATGCGTAGTTACAACTTACCTGCTTAGCAAAACTTGAAACTCGAAAATAATACACAAATCCAAAGGGGTAATTTAAAGTCTGCGTATGGAGATCACTAATAATACATAGAATCCGATTACATTCACAACACTAAAAATGCAAGACAATCGGACGGAACAACAAGCAAAAACATAGGAATAATGTTAGAAAGAGACAAAAACACAAATTATTTGACATTTCACAATCCCATTGACAATTGAGATCCACTATAGACAAAGAACAGCTGTTTTTGTCCATAGTAAAACAAATGCACGTTCAACGTAACACCTAACTACTAAATTATTTATATGGATAATGCTGAATAACTATTTCGAAAACAAAAACTTTGATATTGATATATCGATTTGATAAGAAAATTTATTTATTTCTATTCATAATTGCATGCACATTTAACTGCTGGGTCATATTTAAGTAGAGATGTTACTAACAATTCTTATTGGAAAGTTATGCTTTAGGGTGAACCTCTTTACCCGGCATTCATTCCGGGGGCAAAAATCCCTGTAACTGGCTTAAAAGCCTCCTAGTGCGGATTAGTTCAAAACTAACTTAAACCAGGGATATCCCTAGCTTGATAATATTTACAATTAATTTAAACTTATTAAATAAACTTAACTTAAGAAGTAATACCATACTTGGGAACTAATTTTAATGTACTTGAACATACATACTCAATATGTATATTTCATGTAATGTATATGACAACACTATATTATAACTTTGACAAAAAAGGTTTGTATAGTATATCAATATAAATTAATATAATGTCAATCAATCAAAGGAAGTCATTCCATCAGTTGACAAATTAATTTGTTATTTGTCATTCGTAATCATTTGATTTGTCACATTAATGTCATTTTTTCCAATGTAGCTTTTGTGATGATTGAACTATGTAACTTCCATCTCATAATATTTTAATTATTATTTAATTCTGTTGTATCTGAAGTTTTCTTTATAGTCAGTAAAGCGAAAAAACATCTAGCTAAACTGCATGTTAATGTTCACTATATTATGAAATAGCTTGTATTTTTGGTTAAAATAATTTATTTGGAAGTCTTATATCTGCTACTGTAACCGTTCATAATTGTAAACTGCATATTATCGCCAACTAATTAAGTTCCCGGAAAGTATATCAGGAAAAATAGATAATATAATGGCGAAAGAAGAAGACGACGACAGTTTACCAGATAAGGATGCGGCTAGGGAGTTTTATGCTAAATATGAGCCGAAAGAAATTATAGGAAGGTGAGATAAATATTTTTGTTTTTTGCTAACGGTTACAACCGCTTAATTGGGATCTAAATTTTAAAAACATTCGTATTAACAATACATTCTTTGTGAACTGAAATAATTTAGAAGATATCTGTCTACCAGATATTACTATTTTTGAAGAAAATCACTATCAATTAGTCAATTATAAACAGTTGGTTACATCTGTGTCTATAATAAAATAAAAAATATAATATCGTTTGTATTCAATTTTAATTGTAAAAATTAAACTTGAAGCAAATGAAATTAGAATATGAAAATTTATGTGGGAAATTAATAATTTCTCAAGCGAGGTTGTATTTCAAATTAAAAAATCATTTATCTATGGAACATTTTAATCATTTAAGGAAGTCAAGTTTTTTTTTGTATTATTGTTTTCCCCATCCAGTTCCATGGTAAGCAAAGCTTATGTTATGTAAGTACATTTTTTTAAAAATACATATACATTATACATGTAAAACACCCAGACATATTAGCAATATACCATGTCAGATTGACCTCCACGCGGTTCCCCCTGGAAACCATCGTGATAAATTCTTGGTGAATTTGTCACCATGGGCTAACTGACCTGACCTCATGCACATCTTATCATTCTTTACTAGTGCCCTGCCAGCGTAAACCGTTAGCGCAGGTGGGTGCACCATTCCATTATCATCCACAAAAAAAAACACCAGACAGATATAAACAATCATACTCCTGAATACTAATGTTTGCACCTTGCGAGGAATTGAACCCGCAACCATAGGAAGTATAGCTGTGTGCTAAACTGCTATACAGAGGCCATTGGTATGCTGATTTATTGTCGGTATAATAATTAATGTTGTATATAATAATTAATAATCTCTGAGGACAAAATGGTATCTATTTCTGTAATAATATGGTAGATTAATTAACATTGTTCTATCTTAGTGAATGTGCAAATCACCTAATGCACAAAAATATCCTATTATGTGAATGATTTTCTTAATTTCTCTCTCTATAAGAATTTTTATTCATCAAAAGATTCTTTATTCACAAATTTCAAACATGCTTTGTTTTTTAAATTGGTGATATACGAGGTACACATAAAATGAATGTGCAAATAAAAGAAACGGTGGTGGCTCTATGTTCTGCATAAGTGTATAGGGAACCAACTCAGCATAAAGTTGTAGATAAATCTGCAGCACATGAGTGCTGCAGATTTATCTACAACTATAGAATATGAATAATAGAATATGAATTCTATTGGCTTTTATGTTTCAAAATATGTATGTAGTATTAAATTTTGAGTTCATTAATATGTGCCTGCCATTACCAATTATGATAGTGCATGCGTTCTATGGGCTATATTTGATTCCAAATATGGAAGCCGGCGAGTCTATGTATTATCAATAAAATTGTTGGTTTTGTTATTACTGTTTCCTCACTGGAGAATCAGTCAGAAAAATAAATTAACTCACAAACTTTTTTGTGTCAGCCAGATTTTAACTAAGTACCTTTTGGATGCCATTCGGAGTAGTAAACCAATTAGGCTATGAAGCTAGGTTGTATATTCACAATTGGAACTAAGAAATGTACTGTATAATATATAATTTGCAATATTATAGACTTTAATCTGAATCACATGAGAATTGTTATCTACTGTTACATAATTAAGCCCCCTGATGTTTCTATAGGTATAAACTGGCAATTGATAAACAACCAAATGATATTTATTTGTTATATAATTTAAAGATTTTTCTACCAAATCTAGACCAACATCCTTACTAATATTATAAATGCGAAAGTAACTCTGTCTGTCTGTCTGTCTGTCTGTCTGTCTGTCTCGCTTTCACGCCAAAACTACTGAACAGATTTAAATGAAATTTGGTACCCATATAGTCTAGACGCCGAGGAAGGACATAGGCTACTTTTTAATGCGAAAAAAGGGTTGTAAGGGGTTGAAAATGGTAATGCAAGGTTATCTTTATGCGGTTGAATAAACACTTATTATAATAATGGCTTAACTAAAAAATTAGATATTTTGGAAAGTCTACTTTATAATTGTGTTATTAAGTCTATTTTCAAAAATTTTTAATTTCTGAATTACACCAGTATTGTACTAGATATGCGACTTATTAACGCTCATATGTCATAAATAAACATATATGTCATTTGTATAAGCAGCGCGCGCAACTGATTATTGTCAATCCGTTGTCTCCTTATGAATTTAAATGAATAAACGTTTGCTCTGCAATTTTATTTTATAAATACATAAATATAATCCTGGTACAGCCTATAACTGATGACCCTGCTCTTGGACAAGAGCGTAAGAACATATTATTAATATTTTTGAAGAATAAAACAACATATAATATTTAAAATGTTGTCAATACATATGAACAACATTTCCTTGGAAGAAACAACATCTACCGTTCCATCCGAGCTAATCAGGTTCGGAATACGCGTTTCTCCATTCTGGCCAGTAGAGTCAGAGATATGGTTCGCGCAAGTAGAGGGATAGTTTGCAATTTAGAATATCACATCTATTATTTTGATTTAACAAAATTTTATTATGTTATTGGCCAACTGGACCACCAATTTTCAAAAGAATTTAAACTGTTTATTAAATATAAATAAATATGACATTTAAATTTGTTAATATCACATTGTCACCATTCAAGGGGTAAAATAAAATAGCAGATAAAAGTTTTTATGGAAATTCGTCATATTAGAAGCTAGAACGATGAAGCTTTTTTCTTACGCTTTTTTGGGTCAGTTTATTTAATAAATACCTTACTAATATTATGAAAGTGAAAGTGACTCTGCCTGTCTGTCTTAAAAGCCAAAACTTCTGAACTGATTTAAATGAAATTTAAAGTCTAGATCTTGAGATAGGACATAGGTTACTTTTTAATGCTATAAAGGGTTATAAGAGACTGAAAGAGGAATTTTTTAAAAGTTTAAGCTTCAGTCTTATTTTTTTGCGTATTGATCCTTACTAATATTATAAATGCGAAAGTAACTCTGTCTGTCTGTCTGTCTGTCTGTCTGTCTGTCTCGCTTTCACGCCAAAACTACTGAACAGATTTAAATGAAATTTGGTACCCATATAGTCTAGACGCCGAGGAAGGACATAGGCTACTTTTTAATGCGAAAAAAGGGTTGTAAGGGGTTGAAAATGGTAATGCAAGGTTATCTTTATGCGGTTGAATAAACACTTATTATAATAATGGCTTAACTAAAAAATTAGATATTTTGGAAAGTCTACTTTATAATTGTGTTATTAAGTCTATTTTCAAAAATTTTTAATTTCTGAATTACACCAGTATTGTACTAGATATGCGACTTATTAACGCTCTCATAAATAAACATATATGTCATTTGTATAAGCAGCGCGCGCAACTGATTATTGTCAATCCGTTGTCTCCTTATGAATTTAAATGAATAAACGTTTGCTCTGCAATTTTATTTTATAAATACATAAATATAATCCTGGTACAGCCTATAACTGATGACCCTGCTCTTGGACAAGAGCGTAAGAACATATTATTAATATTTTTGAAGAATAAAACAACATATAATATTTAAAATGTTGTCAATACATATGAACAACATTTCCTTGGAAGAAACAACATCTACCGTTCCATCCGAGCTAATCAGGTTCGGAATACGCGTTTCTCCATTCTGGCCAGTAGAGTCAGAGATATGGTTCGCGCAAGTAGAGGGATAGTTTGCAATTTAGAATATCACATCTATTATTTTGATTTAACAAAATTTTATTATGTTATTGGCCAACTGGACCACCAATTTTCAAAAGAATTTAAACTGTTTATTAAATATAAATAAATATGACATTTAAATTTGTTAATATCACATTGTCACCATTCAAGGGGTAAAATAAAATAGCAGATAAAAGTTTTTATGGAAATTCGTCATATTAGAAGCTAGAACGATGAAGCTTTTTTCTTACGCTTTTTTGGGTCAGTTTATTTAATAAATACCTTACTAATATTATGAAAGTGAAAGTGACTCTGCCTGTCTGTCTTAAAAGCCAAAACTTCTGAACTGATTTAAATGAAATTTAAAGTCTAGATCTTGAGATAGGACATAGGTTACTTTTTAATGCTATAAAGGGTTATAAGAGACTGAAAGAGGAATTTTTTAAAAGTTTAAGCTTCAGTCTTATTTTTTTGCGTATTGATTAAATATAATTAACGAAAATAGGTTGTAAGGGTCAAAAGGGGAGTTAAAATGTTGTATGCATGTATTGTCATTTTTTAAAGCTAGAAACTTGAAACCCATTTTTAGGCTGTTGAGAAAATATCAGTACCTACCGCCACAGGACTCAGCCATAAATGGTTACAGTATATACATCTTATCATACATGATGACACTAATGTAAGTAGCATTAAAAAAAACAAGAAAAAGGGTTATAAGGGGTTGAAAGGGGAGATGTAATGTATGTATGGTATGTATGGAAGTATCTTCATTTTAAAGATAGTAGTTTGAAACTTAGTTTTTGTCTGTTGATTGAATTGTATGGAATTATGTATGGAAATTTCATTTTTGAAGCTAGAACGATGTAACTTTTTTTATTGGGTTAGATTATTAATATATATTTTTTATTATTTGCTCAAGGTCACTATTTTACGCGGACGAAGTCGCGGGTACAGCTAGTATATTAATAAATGTACCACACAGGTACATTTATCAATATTTGTTTTGAGAATACAAATCATTTATTATTTTTTTTCATTCAATTTCTTGCTATCATTTACATATAATATAGAGTTATATATAATATAGAGTTATATATAATATAGAGTTATATATAATATAGAGTTATATATAATATAGAGTTATATATAATATAGAGTTATATATAATATAGGTTATGAATACCGTGTCTTATAGATAATAATGGAATGGTGCACCCACCTTCTCTAACGATTTAAGCTGGCAAAGCACCAGTGGAGGATAACAAGATGAGCATGAGGCCAGGTCCCTTAGCTCATAGTGGCAATTTCACCAAGAATTTAATGTAATGGTTTCCAGGAGCAACCGCGTGGAGGTCAACTTGACATGGTCATTGCTAGCAATGGGGTTAGGTTAGGTTAGGTTAGTCCACATTACTAACAATCCCCTTTCCCCCTGAATACAGTGTCAGTGTAAGCAAAGTGAAAGTTCACGAAACATGTGACCTATAAACCATCTAAAAATATAAAGAACCCTGAGCAATAAAGGTCAGTAATTCTTTGAGCCCATTTTAATTTGTTAGGATGAGGCAGTCAACCTTTCTTAACTTGTATATGTACAGTATGCAATTCAGGTATGATAAAAATATATCTACACATATATATATATATATATATATATATATATGTATATACTTATCTTTTCTGTGACCTGCAATGAGTCGAAGACTATAAATGGATGTTGCAAAAGTTATATCGCGGGTAGAGTGTGATTCCCAGCAGAATCATCGTCTCTTTAGGTGGTTCTGATTAGTCGTCGGGTACCAGTAACCTTTTAAGGCCTTTTAAGGCGACGTATGTTGTCGGGGACCCTCAGTTGGTTGGTCAGCATATTAGGTAACTATACATATAAAAAAATATTACTGACACTGTCTGTACATTGAAGATATGTGTGAAAAACCATTATTTTACTTTATGTATGTAATAGAACCTAACCAAAATATTGATATTTACAATTTTTTATTTGTTTATCTGTCCATATTCTGTGAATTGACTAACTGATTTGATTGCGGTAATTGACGATAATGGAATGCCGTTCCCGTCTGCGCTAACGGTTTACGCTGGCGGAGCACCAGTGGACGATGATAAGATTTGCATGAGGTCAGGTCAGATAGCCCATCATGGCAAATTCAAGAGGAATTTATCATGATGGTTTTTATGGAGAACCGCGTGGAGGTCAACTTGTCACGGTTCGTTGCTAGCAATGGGATCAACAGTCCAAATTAGTAATATTTGAATTCATGATGATGATTGTTTGCATTGGTCTGGGTATTTCTAAGTATATTAAGTCTGTAGTTTAGTAATTCTATCAATTGTCTAGAACCCAAAATACAAGCTCTGCTTACCTTGAAACTAGATGGCGCTGTGTCTTAAGATTTTTTTTATAATAAAGTAATATCTGTCGCTACTTTTGTTGCGATATCCTTTTGGCCTATATCCTATTATTGTCATTGTATGTGTATTTGAGTTTATTGTAATATATTTATTAAATTCGCACAGAGGTGTAAGTTCAACGGTAAGGCGGTGTATAGAAAAAGAAACGGGTCGGGAGTATGCGGCCAAGATTATCGACCTCAGTCAAGAGTCCCAGGATGGAGTGGACACTCACACGATGCGAGACGCCACCCGTCAGGAGATAAATATACTGCGGATGGTGGCTGGTCACCCTTATATTAGTGAGTGAGTTGTTATATAGATTCTAGACGAAATTGCCTGTACCGGATGACTACTTTTGCCGTTTAGGAAATTACGAAATATACTGCATCGTATATATCGGACCCCAAATAAATGGGATAAGGAAGAAGCAGATGATAATGACTATATCCTATATATCCTAATTTTCTCCTACTTTAAATATATGTTTAATGTAGTTCTATTACTTTAAATAATAGTAATAAAGTAGAAACACTATATAAGGCTAAACTATAGGATTTGAATTTTCTCTGAAACTACATTATAATCATTTACCCTCCATGTTTTGTAATGGATGATAATGAAATGGTGCACCCGGCATTTGGTAATATAGCATACTGTTACCGCAATATATATACATCAACATAAATATATACCTACTTAAATACTTACTACAATATATAATCTATATATATATAAAAGAAATGCTGTTCGTTAGTCTCGCTAAAACTTGAGAACGGCTGAACCAATATAGATAATTTTAGTCTTGTAATAATCGTGTAGTACATGAAAGGTTTAAACGCTGATAAAATATGAAATAATTGCTTGAAACAGCAATTTTATGTAACTAAACTTCATAAAACTGACATTTTATTTAAGTCTGAAGCCGAACGGAGTTCGCGGGGTCAGCTAGTAATATATATTATACACTAGTAAATGTATATACTGGATGTTGATAAAAATTTTGTAGGTATATGTGAAAAATAGGCAATTTGTGAATGCGACACTCTGTCTGCTTAATAATAATGTGCGTTTGTTTTTCTTTTGTTTCAGTTGAACTACAAGACGTATTTGAATCGGAGACATTCATTTTCCTAGTGTTTGAGTTGTGTAAGAACGGCGAACTGTTCGACTATCTCACGTCTGTTGTTACTCTATCGGAGAAGAAGACAAGATATATAATGAGGTAAATTACTACTAGCTGTGCCCGCGGTTATACACGCATGAAATTTATAGCCTATATTTAATTCTGATGGATGAGCTATATTACTGTAAAGTTTTATCAAAATCCGTTCAGTAGTTTTTGCGTGAAAGACTAACAGACATCTATCTATACTGACAAACTATTGCGTTTATAATATTTATAGGATATACACCCCATACCTACAAGGGTAGTAAAAAATAAAGTGCAATGGAGAAGGTAACAATTAGATGAGTAAAGTAAAGACGCTACTCACGTACTTCTGGTCTTCTCGGTTCTATACAATAGAATAAGTATTTATATCAGTCGTCTATTTTATACCGGGACTAGATACCGCTGTGTGAATTTTCCTTCCTTTTTTTTATTCATTCGTTTGGGCTATATTCAGGTGCCTTAGACCTTTACGCCCTTTTTGCAAAGTTTGCTACCTAGATCAGTCAGGGACAAGAATTGAAGGATATTCTTAAGAACGATGGTCTTTATCTCCTCAGTATAGAGTGTATATTTTCCAAAGGTGCGTCCTGAGTTATTTTTATTCTAATATTTTCTAAAAGAAAGCCACTCTTCAAATAAAAAACAAATATAATCTAAAATGTAAGACATTTATCGCATTTGTAGTCATTATGTATAATTAGATAAGAATGAGCCCAATGTTTATTAATTACAATTTATCTCACAAGCTTCCGGGTTATGAATGTTTTGCAGAATTTTACAGTGATATAAAAAAGTCTTATTTCATAATCGTGACTGATATGAGTATTGAATGATGTTATAGAAAGGCCAATGAATTTATATAATGCTATATTGTGTTTACAGATGTGCTTATACATATTTTATGTATAAATTAGCTGACCAGATATACGTTGTTATGCCATATAAATTAATATCGCTATTAAAAATAGGGGTTCGTGGTAGGAGAGTGAAAATTTAGGAGTGTATGTATTTAATACTAATTAAAAAAAAATAAAAAAATCGGTTGTGCCATTCTCATCAGTTGGCGGTAATATCGCTATTAAAAAATAGGGGTTGGTGGTAGAAAGGTGAATGTTTAGGTATTTTTTGGCATATCATAAAAAAAAATACTTCATAAAATAAAAAATACATTTTTGTTTATTTTAATAAAAGTAATAAAGTAAAGTTAAATTCCATGCGGATAAGCACGTCGTGGGTAACAGTTAGTCTTATTTTTTTTTTAATCGATGTTAATTGAATGGTTCACCCGCCTGCGCTAACGTTATAAGCTGTCAGGGCACCAGTAGAGTATGATAAGATGAGCCTGAGGTCAGGTCAGTTAGCCGTTCGTGGCGAATCCGCCAGGAGTTTACCCCGATGGTTTAGAATAAGATTGAGCGCCGCTTAATATGGCTATATCTATAATATATAAAGCTGCTAGCTATTATAAACATTATTTTATTTTATTTATTAACTACCTGTACCTCGACTTAGTCCGCTTTGAATCTTGCTTCATTACTTTAATTTTTCTAAAATAAAAGTAGCCTAAGTTACTCCTTATTACATCAGCTACCTGCCACTAAAAGTCCCGTCAAAATCAGTCCAGCCATTTCAGAGATTAGCCGGAACAAACAGACAGACAGACAAAAATTGTAAAAAAAATTATTTTGGTGTATGTACCGTATTTATATTCACATGCATACGGTTATTTCAATATTACGACCTATTGAATGCTACAATATCAAGCGAGCTTCACTTCCGAATAAACTACTATTTTTATTTTTCATTACATATAATGAAATTGTAAAATCGTGACGAGGCGGCAATTAATTGTTTATGTTTGGTAAGATTTCATGTAAAACGCCTGTAGGAATTGGAATCAAAATTTCACACAATATGTTGTTTAACAAATATATTCACAAAGGACGAAAAAATATTTTATCATTAATCAAATTAAGGAAATTTTATTAATATATAAGTAATTTAAAATTAATTTTAAGAAGATTTAATTAAAGAAAGTTTTAGGCGAAGTAATTAAAATTTTGGCGTTGTATAGTTGCTTTATTGTTGTCGTTTGTTTACCATCAAATGTCGATGTACAAATGTATACGCGTACGAAGTCACGGACTCCACTAGTATCTAATAATTGGCGACTAATTAAAATCCAGAATGTCTATTAGCAAACGTTGATTGCGGTTCTTTTAATTGCTTTATTTTTAACTTTACCTTTTTGTGTGGTTTATTACATGTAACTTATATATTGCACATCCAATACCACAGACCAATTATTTGAGTAGTCAATATAACGATATATAATTGCAGTCGTTATTGCGTTGTTTAGTTACATTTTCACCAATTAACTGTACTCGGCTAACCTTATCCAGATAAGACACGGTTACACATAATTGCTCGATAGGTTTCGTTACAGCGGTACTAAAAATACGACATTGCAAATTGAATAAACACAGCAACCTAGGCCTGTACATAATAAAAATCTGCATTTTTTGCCAAACTGAAGAGGAAACGCCACTACATATCCTATATGATTGTAGCCCACTTATGCATAAACGAAATATCTGCTTTGGAAAGTTTACACTCTATCTTGAGGGGATAAAAACCATAGCTCCTTAAAATATCCTTTAATTCTTGTTCCCAACCGATCTAGGTAGTGAACTCTGAAAAAGGGCGATCACAATAGATATAGGTCTTAGTGTAACACTTCGAAGCATGTAAGCATAGCCCAAATACCCCAATAAAAAAAAATTATGCCATTCCAATTTAAAAAAAAAGAAAACCTTTGCAATATGAAAGTCGTTCTAACAGTGACATTTTTAGTTTTTATATAAGTACAGGTTAGGATCTTGCCTCGCCTATTTCTATTGTGTTTGTGACCCGACTTGCTCTTGACCTGCTTGTTCAGTGTTGATATAGCTGATTAAACAATTTTCTTTAATTAGGATAAAGGTTATAACATGTACTTGTTTCTACTAAATTATTAGATAGAATAAAACTTTAATTGCTATAAAGTGCACACATACAAATATAAAAAAAAGTAAATACATAACTCGGTCGGTTAAAAATATTATTATGAATTTATAACAGACTAGCATCCCTTTTTATTTTTGAGATAAACTGTATCCGTTATTGTAATACTGCATCAACATATGAAATTTTTTTTGAGTTCGTTCAGCCGTTTTGGCTTATTGAAATTATAAAGATATGTAATATTTACATTAGTATTATTATATATTTTATTTGCACCTTCTTTTATATTACGATGGTGGCAAACAAGCTTGTAAATAGTTACCGTGGCCTATGGACGCCTGAGACACCTGGGGTGTCACGTGCGCCTTGTCGACCCTTAAGAAACCCCTCTTGAAAAATCCCATGCTATAGTCTCGCGAGAAAACCTCGGCAGGTAGTTCATTCCACAATCTTAGTTTAGTTTGGTCACTCTAAAGAACTGCCTAGTAAATTGCTACCGTATAATATATCTTTAATGTAATGAATATTATCCGAGTAAATTGTATAAACAACGTAAACAGTCGTAATTATGTGAATCTAAGTAGCTTTGTAAACGAGAAGGAGTATATAGATAATGGATTCGCGTATTTTCTGTCTCGCATAAATCGGGTTCGGAGTCCGGCCTCGAGTCTCAGTTAGTAGCGTGCGACCTCCTACACCTTCATAATCTCCTGGTAGTTTGTCGCGTCGACATTTGTGATTCTGTCTGTTGATTCTCTGTTTTGTTTTTGTTTTTAAACAAGATGGCCCTTTGCGGATTCCTGGCTGCAGATGTCCAGAAATTCATTTCTGATGAGCAGAAAAAATACGAGTGTGTTGATTTCATTGTTAATTATTTTGATAAATTAATAATTAATCGCTATATATAAGGTAGGTAATATGTTATTTATTTATATGGATAAAATGTTTACTTAATTCATATTTCTTAGTATTGACTTGTCTACGGATTTTTTAATATAAAACACAAAACTTGTCATTTATAAATTAATATTTTCTTATTGATTAAAATCATAATAATTACTACTTATACAATTTTATGTTAACGTCGTTAGATTATTTTGTAAGCTTTAATTTATCTATTAGGTAGCTATCGTAATGAAACATGTATTCTTAATACTAATTGTAATCTCAAACCGTTCCAATATTCCAAAGAAATACAGTTTGTTAGTATATTTTTAAACTATTTAAAAAATGAAACATGTGAAATATTGTTTTGTAACCGGCACTAATATATGATATTTTGAACAAATAACACAAAAAAATTATAATGTTAATGACTATGGGAAACTATGAAGTACAATTAATCTTATAATATTATAAACGTGGAAATTTATGAGTGTGGTTGCCAGATAGATGTTTGTCACCCTTTCACGCAAAAACTACTGAATGGAGTTTAATGATCGTTTATAATAATATAGCTTACACAGAATAACACATAGGCTATAAATTTCACGTGTGTGAAATCGCGGACACAGCTAGTAATGTGTATTAAAATTATTTATATTGTTCAACTCGGACAAGCCACTAGTATTAGTCAGTTTTATAAAATAGAGGTACAAACTTTCATTATAACTAACGTTATTATTCTTTTATAAGGCAAGTCCTAGAAGGTGTCCGGTATGTGCACAGCAAAACAATAGTGCATCGCGACTTGAAGCCCGAGAACATCTTGCTGGATGATCAACTCAACGTCAAGATCACCGACTTCGGCTTCGCCAAGGTGCTAAAGGAAGGGGAGAAACTCTTTGGTACGTATTCTAATTATAGTCTGAATAATAATGAAACCTATTCGCCATGAACATGTAAACTAAACTATATCCACATCAAGATATATCCAGATATAAATAGTTGATCCCAGTTTTGCAGGACACAGAAATGAAAATATTGTGTAAATTGAAAAAAAGGTCCTTCTATATAGATATACAATTTTAGCAAACTATAAAGGGATGTATTTTATTAAAAAATGTAAATTATGTCATGATTATGTCAACACTTGATACCTCATTTCGCTGGGTATCTCTCATATATTTTTTGATTTGTTATCAGAAATTTAAATAGACACACTAATTTGATGACCAGATTTTAACCCAGTACCTTTCAGTGTAAGTCAGGGTTGTAAATCACTAGGCCGACAGCGCAGTCAGGAAATACTAAATACTTTTCTATATATCTGGAGTAAAATAACATTACTATTCAGTGCATAACTGTTACAATGCTCATTGTTTCATAAATGTATTGTATACAGAACTGGATGTAACTTAGATACCACTGATTTGACGTACGGACTGCGGTAGCGACACCAGCACGGTCTATGCACTAGAGCATGCATATAAATACATTGTAGATAATTGAACGATCAAAGATCTCTAGATTTTTTATCTTCATCTTCTTTCTTATCCCCAGAATGTCGCAACGACTTTTGCGCATAGATTTTTAAAGAAAAGTGCAGATTATCGTAATTCCTTATTACGATAATTAGGTAGTAAGAGTAGGATTTTTGCTTTTTTAAATTGGAATGTTAGACTTGCTAATGGAAAAAAGTCAATGGTCGCATGTATATTTTATTATTGATTTTCTATCAACGTCATGGTCATCAGCATTCGTGTTGTCATTCATGGCCTACACAGAATATCAACGCTGTAACAGTATGTATAGCTGTCACAGCATATGCTGTATGTGGGCCATTTCGCCTACTAATAATGTAGAAGTGCAATTCTTTATTATATCTACATATATTAGTTGATAATAATTTTTTTTCAATCTATCTTTTTTGACGGCCTTGATTGTTCAGCGGTTTAATACACCGCCTTACTTCCGACGGTCGCGGGTTCGGTTCCTTGCACGGTGCTAACATTTGTATTCATGAGTATGATTGTTTGTATTTACAAAAAAAATGTGTCTGCATTTTTGTATCAGTTTAGTTCCCATAACACAGGCTCTACTTGGGACTAGATGGAGCTGTGTGAATTGTCCATTTTAGTATTATTTCTTTCTTTCTCTTATATGTTAAACCGCGGACATCGGTTGCCATTCCGGATCTTGCAAAATGTTTTATATTTTACGAAAGGTTGGTATTGACTAGATGGCCAATACGCTTCATTTCTTAAAACTTTTTATTTCGTTTAAGAATGTTATAATAATATTTCAACTCTGTCCGCAGAACTGTGCGGCACGCCGGGCTACCTCGCTCCGGAGACCCTGAAAGCGAACATGTTTGAAGATGCTCCCGGCTATGATACCGGGGTAGATGTGTGAGTATTCATCTCCTGGCCTTTTCATAACTTAATGTATCTATTAATATATATTATAATGTTTCCTTCTGCGTCTGTTTATATCATCATCTGCTTCTTCCTTATCTCATTTATTTGGGGTCGGCGTAATATGTTTTTCTCTTCCATTCATCTCTGTTCGCAGTCATCCCGTTATTTACTCCCTTTCTCACCATATCATCTTTCACACAGTCCATCCATCCCTTTTTCGGTCTTCCTCTTCCCTTATAAACCATCCACATTCATATGTAACACCGTCCTTAGGATATGATCTTCATTCCTACGCATTACATGCCCATACCACGATAGACGATTACTCTTTCACCTCTCCGACATCGGTGCCACTTTCATACTTATGAAGTATGAAAGTGTCTGTTTATATATTCGCGATAATGTCATAAATTTCAGAAAGGATTTTCATGCGATAGTCATGTATCAATAGAGTGATTACTGAGGTTTAGGTGTATAATTAATTAAGGTTTTGAGTAAATTAATTAAAATAGTAGTGCGAAGTGTGTTTGCTATTCCAGAATGTTAGGTACACAGTACCGCATTATTGTATAGGTGTAGAGGTCCCTAATGGTGTGGTAAACAAAGAATTCAGCATCAGCAATTGCTTCCAAATATTTGAACTTACCACTCCTACCTTAAACCTACACCCGGGTCACAAGTTCCGGGTAATGCTCGGAGTTTCTCTCCACCATACGATGGACCCGGCACCCACACGGTGAATGCAATGCTAAGTTAGTATCTGTATAAAATATATTACAAATTTTAAAACGAAAATAACGGCCATCAATACAAACCTAGCATGCTTAATAAAAACTTGAAAGGGGGAAGGGGATTCTTAGTAATGGGGTCTAGTGTCACCATTGCTAGCAATGTACCATGTTAGGTCGTGTTAGGATTAATTCCTGGTTATTTAATAATGATGTGCTAACTGACCTGACCTCATGCTTATCTTATCATCCTCCACTGCTGCCCCGCCAGCGTAAACCGTTAGCGGAGACGGGTGCACCATTCCATTATCATCCATGAGAAAAAATGACTCACAGATGATCTATCTGAGCATACAGTGTTATCGTGATGTAATAAAAAAAAGTGAAAACAAAACATCTATCGGACGACATGACCTTGTCGACACAAACCGTTATCACTATTAATCATATTGCGGGGAATAACACACCTCCCGGAACTGAACTAACGATATTTAGGATTGTCACACAACACGATGTGATCGATACATAGGATATTTTATTGAAGATTAGCAGTGCCCGCGACATCAAATATTCAAATTCAAATTAAAAAATCATTCATTCATGTAGGACATTTTAGCCGCTTATGAACGTCAAGTTTTTACATTATAATTTTTTTCCCTACCGTCCAGTTTGGTATATAGATCCAATTGAGAAGAACTGGCAAGAAACTCAATTGAATGACTTTTTTTTTTTAAATCCAGTATATTTACAATGGATAGGTATTTATATAGGTGTCTATAATATGTCAATAATATGAACAATGATCCGCGTTTTTGCAAGAAAATTCACTGATGCTTCACTTCTATTGGTCATAGCGTAATGTTATATAGCTTAAAGCCTTCCATGACAAATTATTGTTGTGTTGGATAACACAAAAATAATTTGTCAATTCAAACCAGTAGTTCCTGAGATTAGCGCGTTCAAACAAACAAACTCTTCAACTTTATAATATTATTATTATAGATATTTATATATAGCCCTAGAGCCAGAGGCTTTTTTTCAATTATTCAACTAGATTAAACATATGATACACTAGCCAGCTGACTATGTTTTATCTTCAACGTATAGGTTTAATTATGATTTGATAGCAGTTTGAGCTGGGATTAAATATTGGTATGTTTACATGTTTTCGAGGGTGTTACAGTCATTACTGTTACACCCACTCTCGAGTCGCAGCTGACTTTAGACATAGATTGTTAGTAATGTTGCATAACTTGCGATGTACCATATCAGGTTATTCTTCTGGTTCCCCTGCGGCATGGAGTCTCGGACGAACACTAGATAATTAAAAAAAGTTGTAGTTCAACACAGCCGCAGCCGGGGGCAACCATTAGTTATTCATAATCAGTATTAACTTAATACTCATCGAGGTTACTTGTTCCCGAGAGCTGGTAGCTACTTTGCCCAGAGGTTAAGAATGGTCATTCAAAGAGGCACTGCCAGTATCTTGGGTGCGCAGCCACGATGGCCGCGTTGGATTACAATGATTGTTTTTTTTTGTGATTGTTTATGTATGTAATTATAATTACTTGATACTCCAACTTAATTGGCTTTGGAACCTAGACATTGAACTTATTAATGTAGAACGAATGTATGAATCACGTGACATGCGGTATGGTACAGCAAAAAAATATAACCTTTGATTATGTTTTATGATAATAGTGTTGAATGATTTCAATATTGTTTTGCTATAAATTTATATTACATAATAGTGTTTACCCTCTTTTTTATATCTTGAATTGAACCCATGTTTTCATACAGAAAACGTGATTGAAAATGTGCTCATATTAAGATTCAGTATGACAGCAATAACCGGACGCGGTTGAAACCGCGGCCAGAACTAGTTATGAATAATCATTGTTTTATTTTTTAGTTTTTTTTTAAGTATTATTTGTTACTTTACAGGTGGGCATGTGGTGTCATCATGTTTACACTGTGAGTTCTTTTAAAAAATATATATTTATTATTTATATTTAATGAATTACATAGATAAGTAGTGTATAAAGTAGTTTGCGTGGGTAGCCCTCACCAATTTCAGGCGCCAAGCAGCTTACTTTATACATATAATTTTAATTAATTTATAAATTAAAAAACTTCAATAACTCAAAATACTTCATAAGTATATTTACTCTTATAACTCAAAAAATTTGAACCCATTTTTGAAATAAAAAAAGTTTCGTCAAATCGGTTTATAAACAACGGAGTTATGAATTAAGTAACATTAAAAAATATATAGCCGAATTGAGAATTGAGCCCCGTTTATCCGGCGAAGCTGTAATGGTCAACTGAGGCTAACAGCATTAGAATAGTCTGTAAAAAAAAACATTAGGTGGACTGTCAATCTGTTCATATTACAGATTGGTGGGTTGCCCTCCGTTCTGGCATCGGAAGCAGATGGTGATGCTTCGGAACATCATGGAGGGGAAATACTCCTTCACCAGTCCCGAATGGGCTGATATATCAGGTACGTTAAATTTTGTTAAATTTATATAGACGTTTAATTATTTTCTAAAGAGGGTTCTGTATTTATTTGGTTAATTTTACCCGCGACTTCGAGTGTGTGATCATGATTACTTGATTGATTTACAGAAATAAATCTCGAAATTATAGTAAACGCCGTATTGAAATCAAATCCGTTTCTTGGTTTAGTAAACCAAGAAACAGACAAACGAAAAAAGTTTATATAAACACAAAATATTTTTTTATTCCAATTCCAGATGATCCAAAAGATCTTATTAGACGGTTTTTAATGGTAGAACCAAACGACAGGATCTCGCTTCAGGACGCGCTCAATCATTCGTTCTTCAATCCCGTGGTAAGCCAACTGCATTTTATGCGATCCTCGTATACACCGACGATTGTTCATATCATGTCATTCATTTAATAAATAACCAATTTTTATTATTATGTGTAAATGAATATGAAAATAATATTATCATTTAATACTATTGATATTTTATTAAATTTCTTTTTAAAATTATATGTGCCTATTTGATATGGACGATATGACGACAGATTTACATTAGATTAGATCTACTAGCGTTATGCACTATTAAATATTTTTGTAATAAAATTTATTTACTTAATCAGTAATACTGCTGTACAGAAATTCCATAGTTATTTTAAGAACTATAATAATCTTCCAACACATGACACTATTTATTTTTCTTCCTAGTTTTTGCCTTTACTGTACTTACAGCTTTGTAATTAATGCCTACAAATATTAACTTTATTTTCTGCTTTTCTAATTTTATTCAAAGAATATAGCAACACTGTAGTAAAGGCTTACCATTTGCACTTTAGTTTTATGCTTCTTTGAGTTTGAAATCTTTCACTAGGATAGCATAAATTAGAACATGTATAAATTCACACGGCAACTAGTACAATATACATATTCTTCGCTTCTGGTAGTTGTGGGACCAGGATATGACGCCGCTCAAGAGATCGTTGTCATCCAGCAGCCGGAGGATGTCTAGGATCGAGCAGTTGACAATGGTAATATTTGTGTGGCCAATCAACAAGCGGGGATATTCATACGCTATCTCGATTATTTTTGTTTGTTTTTATGTTGTCTCAGTCTAAAACAACATTTTGGATCTTAATAATATATATAAATAACGATTAAGGCTGTTAGTACACCTACACCGTGAATTATCGTAGGGAAAAGAAAAAGTTTTTAACATACACGAAACTTCTGTAAATCTATATAGTATCTTTTCCTAAAGTAAAGGAGGAACCCTTTCTAAAGTTAAATCGTATAGTTTTTTCACCAAGAACATATACCGAGAAAGAAAATCGATATTCAAAAGCTATAAATGTAATAACTAAATATATGAAAAATATGGTATGTATATTAAGGAATAACTTTGGCAACACTTTTTCTCTATTGTAATTCGCGGGTTTTGTAGGCTAAGGTAGTAAAATTGGATTTGTTTACAAGAAAATTACATTCAGACAGATGACGTTCTAAAAACAGTATAATCAGGATAGCGTTCTTAAATACTGATATTCAGCTATTACACGTACCAATTCGTTTTCTCGTTCAAATAAACACATTTGCCTGTTGAGTTCTAGCTTCATGTATTACCTGCTCTAACATAAATTCAGTTTGAATTTTGAAATTGATGTATTAATACGTAATTAATAACTCCCATCGTAATATATTGTTTATAATAATTTACCTTTCATGAAAGTAAACAAAATGTATCAAATATCCAACTCTAAGTTTACTCAATACTCTACATGAAGGTATCTTAATTGAAAGTTTTTAGAATATGTAGGCTGTATACTATTATATACAGTTTAGAAATCTTATGCCCTTTATTAAAAAAAAAAACTAGATTGTCACGTTTTTGCATATTCAGTAAATAACTCCTCATAAATAAGAACGCCTAGTTCATTACGGGATCTATAAACTTTGAAGCCTTAGGGCCATAATGTAAAAAAAGACTAATAAAGTCGCAAAATGCGCTACTTAAGATGTCTAGTAGTAACACTAGTCTTAAGCTGACGACAGCAAGTATTTATGGCATTGACCGGCGGGATTTTGCCAGCGGCACCGTAGTTTGGAGACACTGGTTTAATACATCTGAGGATAGTTTAAGAGTTTTGCAAATTTTTAAAGAAGAATAGGAGTTATCGTGTTGTTTTTTGCATATTACTTTACTAACGCTATGTGCACATTAGTATGACGCTTAGCTGGCATGATTTGTTTGGTTCGTTTTTGCATGAACTTGTGCATTGTTTTGTTTTGTATGCTTATTAAAAATTACATGACAATTTATTCTATTTTACCATTAGGATCAGCAAGCAACAAGCTAAAGCATTTTTTACCTTAAACCCACCCTTATCCACTTCCTGACCACAAATCGCCCGTAAATTATTTTGCCACTCATTCTCTCCTTTTTCAGACTAGTTTCATCATACTACATGTTATTATTTTTTACCATTTTCAAAGCCGGAAATCTAGATGCTGTTTTTTACCCTGAAAAACTCACCTCCATCCACGTCCCAATCTCACATCGTCCGTAGATTATTTTTTCTTTCATTTCTATTATATTCTCTTCCTTTTCCAGTGTTTCCAGTTTTTTGAAACCAATAAAATATTATAGTGGGTCTCATCCCACTATAATATTTTATTGGTTTCAAAACTTATCCCTCGACCTTCTCTTCGTTCCTAAATTTAAGTTTATTAGAATTTTCTATTCCATTGTATTTACCCTGGTGTATGCGGGTACGCAGGCTATAAAGTCTGGCGGGTTCAACGCGCGCGCCAAGCTGCGCCTGGGGCTGGTGGCGGTGCGGGCGGCGGTGAGGCTGCGCCGGCTGCCCACCACCGCCACCAGGGAGCTCTCGCTGCACGACGCGCTGCGGGACCCCTACACCATGCGCGTGCTGCGGAAGGTACCCACCGCTAGCCGTTTATTTTTTTTCTTTCACACAGTAAATTATATACTTAATAGAGTTAATGCTCATAGAACAAAGAGGTGATAGAAAAATAATGATAAGAAATTACTTAGAAAACCACTATCGCCAACACACGCATACTCCTCGTGTCATCTTTTTAAAATCACATAAACAAATGTAATTAATTGGCCACGTAGCCAACCAAATGAAAATCAATCTTCGTCATGAAACAGATTTTTTTTTTTAAATGTTTTGAAAATTAAATTAAAAATATAAAGCAGATCGAAGTATGTGATTTTAACGCGTAATATTGGGGCTACGGGTTACGCAGCCATACTATTTCTACTATCTACTTTTTATTGTTGTGTTAATGCCGGAAGGCATTCTCGCGCTGCGAGGCCCCTGCACCATGTGTGTGCTGCGGAAGGTACACCTCATGCTGTTAATATATATATATATTCTTTTGCCCACAAAATTATGTAAATGGAGGTCTTGATGATGGTATTCTCTACCAGTCAACCGTCGCTCTGTTCAGAGATAATAGCTGCCTTTACACGACACCCTCTTTATGGCGGGAATGCCAGCATTCGCTATCATGTGTGATTATATTTTGCAATTTTTTGTGATCATGATAGAGTTTCTAATTCTTTTTACTAATAGCTAAATTTTAGTTAAATAGCAATAGGAAGGAAAATTGAATTTAAATTTGTTTTTTTTTCAGGTGATCGATGGCTGTGCTTTCCGCGTCTACGGTCATTGGGTGAAAAAGGGCGAAGGTCAAAATCGTGCAGCTCTCTTCGAGAACACCCCCAAGACTGAATTGAAGAGTTTGTACGTCAGTAACCTCAGCCGATAACTGCTGCCCGCGGAGGGTATCGGAGCAATTCCTTGCCGCTTCTAGACTCCTAGTCATTGGTAGGTGCTATAAAATTACGTTTCTACCTGTATGTATTAATTACGTAAGAAGGAAGAAGGTACCTTCTTCTTACATGATTGTTACAATGAATAATTTTTAATTTATGTAATCCACTTATTTTTATAACTAATTTATTTTTAAGTAATATATTTTTTTATTTAAAATTTAGTAAGTTTACTTATTGTGTAAATATTGTAACGGAATTACAGAGGCCGTTTTTATTTATGTAATTGGAATGGCAATCAAGCTGATACATCGCCTGATGTAACCATGTGTATATCATTCATGCATTGTCATTGCAATCCTTATCCTGTAATTTCACTGCCTAGTTTGAGACTGCAATTGAAACATAACTTCGAAATCAAGGCGCTTGCTGGAAGTAGTAGCAGCTCCAACTAATCTTATATTAATAATATTATAAACGCGAAAGTTTGAGAGTATGGAACATCCATACTCACAAACATCATCAAAATCCGTTCAGTAAATTTTGCGTGAAAGAGCTGTTACTCTTCAACCATACTCACAAATTTTCGTTTTCGTTTGTTTTCGTTTCGTGTTCGTTTCGTTTATAATATTAATAAGAGTATATGACTATTATATCCCCTATAATTTGCTTGGCAAGATGTATTCCAGTTTGATTAATGGGACGTGGTATTGAAATTACAGTGCACAGAAGCATAAACATTTTCTGCTCAGTTTTGATAATACATTTTATGGCATACGTAATGATGTTGCTTAAAAAACATAAGATCAAATACTTTATTTTACACCTAATAGCTCCAGGTTGTCTGTAAGAGATTTGGTAAATATTCTTCTGTGCACAATAGAGAGTTGTGTTTATTTTTTATTATAGTTACATTTTTTTTATTTTCAGGAGCATTAGTACCAGGTTATCAGAAACACAAGACACCGCGTTCTCGGTCCTGTGTTTTTGACTCATGAAGTGTGTCAACGAGTGATGTAGGTTAGTCATAGAACTTTCGACCCTCCGTAGTATACATTTCATACTTTATTAGAACAATTTAATTATGTACTCAGTTATTGTATAGTCGAAGTTACGTTGTAATAACGTAATGTTTTTATTTCAATATATTTGTTGTTATATTTACTCCATCTGTATGAAAAAGTAATTAGTACCTTGCAGTACATTTAGTTACACTTGAAATTGTTATTTTAGAGGAAGTCTAGATTACTTTAATCAGTATATCAATATCAATAATATATTTATGAATAATTTATTTATTTTTATTGTAAGTATCTAAATACTTTTATATATATTTGTTTTTTTACAAAATTTGTAATATAACTATTTTATATTTAACAATAATAGTATTCATGTGAATAATAAATAAGGTTTTATATTCCCCTTTTCAATCATTGATTTAAAATAGGTTTTATATCCTAGTTCTATTATAGAAAATGGTACAAAGCTACCCCTAATAAGCAATAATGATTGTATGTGATTTGGTAATTAATAGTTCAGTCTCGATAAAACATAAGGTTCACAATGTAGATAACTTTTATTATTATATAAAATATTCAGGTCATAAACAAGAATTAAATTTTTGAGAGGTTTTTCTTATATTTTTACAGTAATATTACATGCAATATTTAATAAAAATATTAGATAGATAAATTATTCAATTACATCTCTCTAGTACACATACAATAACTGGAATATTAGACAACAATAAACAAAGAATAAAAAAATTGCTAAAGAGAAACAATAAAAGAACTAGTTTTACAATTTTTAATAACAAAAAAATATATAAAGATTATTGGTGATGATTATTAATTGGCATACAATTCAATATGAACAGTAACATGTAAAATTACACCGTTAATCTTACTAAAATTAATAAATATAAACACTACTGATAAACCAAACAAAACATAACTATTAGATCAAATCATGTAACAAAATGATCACTGTGTATGACCATTATCTACATAAAACGAGACGACTGAAAAAATGATAAAAATATGTAATGAAACAATTGAAAATTAAAAAAAAAAAATTAATTCTGTAGTACTTTAAAATTTACTGAGAATTTATCTAAAGAGGAATCCCCTTTCCTATGGAAAAGAAATGATTTATTGTCGTACACGTAAATGAAATATTTTTTACTATTACTAAATTATATTTTGAGATTGTTAATAAAACTAGAAAATTAAGCGGCGATTGGAATTATATATTTTAACTTATTTGCACATAATGTACATACAAAATTACTAGTAATTTTAATATTTTTAGTGAAAAATGTGCCCATAGATATAAATAAAAATAAGAATGGATACGCATGTTACCCGTAATTAAAGTATGGAAAGTCAAGAATTTCATCTGTATACCATATCTGTTGAATTTCTATATCTTCACGATAACTAGCATGATTGCATTGCGTAAAAAAACAACAATAATAATATATAGTATAAAAGAAATGAAAGATAACTAATGTTATATAGAGTAACTTAGGCGACTTTTATTTTAGAAATTGTATATCTTCACATAGTATAAAATGAAGTGTCGCCGCTGTCTGTTCGTTTATATCTTTTAATTTATACAACGCATTTTAATATCGTTTTACGAACTGTAAAACAAAAATAAAAAGTGATTACAATTGTTGTATTGATATGTATATGTTTTTAAATAAGTACAGCTCACGTTATTCGATGAAATTGTAGTTTTCTATAAGTGAAATAAATATTTAATTTTTTTTTAAATTATTCATTATAAACAAAAATGTAACGTATGTACGTTTTAAATTATTTTTATTGGCTTTAATTATTTAAACGGAAAGTAAATTGATACTTTTTATGTATTTAACGATTTAATTACATTTTAAGCCTAGATTTTTTTATAATTATATTTGCACCGCCTACAATAATTCCCTACGCCACCTATAGAAACCTCCACCTCCGGTAGAAAATACCGCATGGTGTTAAATTCGCCAAATGTACTGTTACTTTTTGTACTGTATGCTTTAAAGTTATATGTATATATATATATATAAATAAATATTGTATGCAAATTAGCCTCCTATATAGGTTATTCATTTACCCGCGTTTAATTAAAAAATGCACTATTTCAGTAACAAGACTATATAAATGTAATGGGACCAGATGTATATTCGGACTTTCTATACAAAATGTAGATATATACAACTCCTTGTATTATAGTGAGGTGCCTTCCAAATCGTTGGTGCAATGTATCGATATGATTTGTTATGTTTCGTTCAATAAACAGCAAATGAAGAATTTTAAACTTTTTTTTCAAAACCACTACAATAAAAAATAACTCTTAACTCGTATAAATTAAGAAGCAAAATGACGTGGACATACTTTTTAAGTATTGTTATTTGTGATGTGTTTATACTATAATTTTAATTTGTTTACGGTGATTCCATCACCGGATTGTTAGTAAGAATTTTCATTGACATCAAAATTTGGTATTGGCAGATTGGGGCTCACGATCGATAAAAAATATATATAAATAATATACCAAAAAAAAGACTTATTTTAAAAAAAAAGTTTTGCCATTAATTTAATTAAAAATATCTGATGACATTTTTTTCGTTGATATTACATACATATAAAAGGTTAAATTCTGGTGTCTATCTGTACAATAGACACACGTATAGTATTCAGGTAGCATACTGTAGCCTACCTGATGCATCGGCCTCCTTTCTGTTTTTGTGTCAGTACGTTGTAAACAAGAGTCAGCAAGTACCTACGTATTGATGTCATTCAGTGCTAATAATAACTACGTCGATATGTCGAATTAACGATACTGCGTCGGAATTTACCATATTTCGTCGAATTCAACAGGCAAAAAACGGTAAACAAATATCTAACTAGCTGTACCCGCGATTTCGTCCGCGTGGAATATAATTTTTGGACGCCATCGTGACACATTCAAAAAGAATTTATCACGATGGTGTCTAGGGGGAACCGCGTGGAGGTCAACCTGACTACTCGCTAGCAATAAGATCATCAGTCCATATTACTAACAATCACCTTTCCCCCCTTATGGTCGTATTTCGACTATTGGCGACTAGTATCTTTATGTACGTCTTACAGAGGCCCAGTAGGTATCCATATTATATATTTATTTTAGACTACTATTATATATATTATAAATACCTTTTAGACGAACATACATACAAAATAATATAAGATATAATTAATTTGTCCACAATGATAAAATTATCAATAATAATAAAACGTTACATATTAGATAAAATATTAGAAAATTAAATGTTCACCCGTGTTACAAGTCCCGGGAATTGCTCGGAGTTTCTGTTTCTGCCACATGATGGACCAGGCAGCCGCATCCAGAGTATCCATGGAATGTTAAGATTTTCGTCTCTCTAAGAAGACAATATAGATTCAATATTCAGATCATAGATTGTAATTAAAAGTAAGTATTTTAAGTACTACCTTTTGCTGTAGCTACATAGAGAATACTTAGTAGTTAATAGTTTAGTAGTAGTATTAGTACCTATTCTCATAATAAGAGTCGAAAAGTCAGTACAGTTTTTGTTTGTATAATAATGAAACGGTTTTTTTTTCGGACTACTCTAATGCTGTTGGCCGCAGCTGGCCTTTATAGCTTCACCGGACGATAGGGGGCGAGTGCAGATAGCACTCCAAACCCGCGCAATGACTTCTGCAGCGGCTGAAGGCCAACTCCCGCCTGACGGATACGACTTTAGAACTTTAGTCTGAGGGCACCGCTAGGGGTTCGAAACTCGGTTCAGGCCGTCGTAATTTGAATTGAACGGGGATCGATTGGAGGGGACCTAAAGGAACGGTGAACTATTCTGTGGTGCCGTTACTATACACTAACGAACCGCTGGAGAATAATATGAAAATGGCCAGATGAGTTTTTTTAATGTCTTATGGGTACTAGAGAACTGATATAAAAACATAGATATTTATTTGTAAATACGTACATAATATAGAAAACACCCAGAACGATACAAACAATCATATTTGTGAATACAAACGTTTGTACCGTGAAATTAATCGAACCCGCGACCATCAGTAAACCGGTGCATGTGTGCTAAACCGTTAAACAACCAGGCCGTCGATTATTTAAAAAAGTGTTTTCTCCATTTTGCCGTCAAAATGAATAAAACACTTTTTTTCGTCTTTCACTCGCAGATAGAGAATGTTATAACGAGTAACTTATATCCTATGTTACAATTATATATATTATATAATAAAACCTTATAACATTATCAATATGCAAGTAAAAGACTTTTATGACTATAAGACTATTATTATAGAAGTGTTATATATTTTAATAAAAAAAAGGTAAATTCCACGCGGACGAAGCCGAAGGTAATAGCTAGTCATGAGTATTCTTCCTGACTAATACTAGACTTTTCATCGTCTTATGAATATAATAAATGCGACAGTTTGTGAGTATGGTTGGATGTTTGTTACTCTTTTACGCTAAAACTATTACTGAACGGATTTTGATGAAACTTTACAGTTATACATCAGAATAACACATAGGCTATAATTTAAAAAGATATTATGTAAATTGAGCGAAATATAATGATTAATGTTAAGCCAGTGAGGTTAGTTAGTAAGAGACAAATTCGTTAAATTATATATGTATGTCTTTATTATTTAATTAATTTGATGACAATACAACCACTATAAGGCACCCGCCAGCGCTAATGGTTTACGCTGACGGGGCACCAGTGGAGGATGATAAGATGAACATGAAGTCAGGTCAGTTAGCCCATCGTGGCAAATTCACCAGGAATATAACGTAATGGTTTCCAAGAGGAACCGCGTGGAGGTCGACCTGACATGTTACATTCCTAAAAATGGTGTCATCAATCCACATTACACTAACTATCACCTTTCCCGCTCCCCCCGAGTTTGCTATTTTTTTTATTATTTAAAGTAATGTCTGTTGTTTCCTTTGTGACGTCATCTTTTTGGAATATGTCTTATTATTGTCAATCTGTATATGTATTCCTAAGTTTTTTTTCTTAATTTTTTTGTTAATTAGATGGTCATGTTTTGTTGTAAACATTAGAAGCACTAATTAGAAAACATAAAATACATTACTAAGTACTTACATTAAGTGGTTCAGTGAATGGTCAGTCTCCTTGGACTAAGAAACATGTAGATGAAACGATTTATTTAATGGAAAAAAAGTTTCTTCATTCATACGGCCTCGGTGGTCTAGCGGTATAGCACGCCGCTTTACTTCCGATGGTTGCGGGTTGGAATCCTCGCACGGTGCAAAACTTTTGTATACATGTGTATGATTGTTTGAATTGGTCAGGGTGTTTTCTTTGTATATCATGTATATATTTAAAAAAAATAAAGTATTTATATTAGTTGCCTCGTACCCATAACACAAGTTCTGCTTACCGTGGCACTAGCTGTGTTAATTGTCCAGGGTTATTTGTTTATTATTATTATTTCAAATGTGGCAATGGAAAAATAATATTATTCAAATGTGCATAATTTTTTTTTACTACTTTGTCTATTTCTCAAGACGATTGAGAGTTGTGTCCAGTATTACTTTTTCCAACCAGAGATCTCTATTCTATGTCGGGATTGTTGACGGCATCTCGAACGGAATTTTATCATATGAAACTCATCTAATTCATTTCTAGAGTTATATACCGTCCTGTTGTCCCAGGACATGTCCTAGTTTTTATAGTGTCCTGGTACGTTCTGAATGGTGTCCAAGCAGCGTTCTGTGTTTTTAAATAATAAGTAGCCGATTCTAAGACCTATTGAATATAATAAAATTTCATCAAAAGTGATCAAGCCGTTTGGGAGGAGTATGGTAACTAACATTGTGACACGAGAATTTTATATACTAGACTAGCTTTTGCCCGCGGCTACGCTCGCGGTAATTTATCCCCTTAGGGGTGATTAGGTTTAAATCTTAAAATTATAAAAAAAATATTGAAATACTATGCATTAAAACTATGAATATTCTAATTACTTAAACTTCATTACATCTACTATATTTTCGTTACTAAATTATAATTCGGTTTTAAATCTTAAAATTATGAACTAAATATATTCAAATACTTTAAAAATATGAATGTTCTAATTACTTATCATTCATCATGTCATCTGAGTATTTTCGTTACAAAATTATAATTCGGTTTAAGAATGAATATTCTTAGTACTTAAATTTGATTTCACTATATATTAATTTAACTATTGCAACTCCATTACTTTGTCATGTTTTTAAACTGAATTGTCCTGGTATATCTGACTTCAAATCTGGTTTTTTAAATGTGGGGTTGGCAACCCTATTCGCTTCAAACTTACTTTCAAAGTAAAGAAATCGCTCTAAAGAAATAAAGGCATAAAAATGTAATGGCTAAAATCTAAACAAGCCTTGTTTAGGTTTTTGTCATTTTGTTTATTAAGAGAGAAAGGCTCTATTTCGTTAAAAGTAAAGTACACACATAAATAGTATACACATATATAACACATATAAAGTATACACATTGGAATCTAATTCAGAACATTATAAAACTACATATTATATTATAAGGACAGTGTAATTAATATATAGTAAAATCAAGGTATAAGACAAGAATTTGGAAGTATGACAAACTAGTTGTTACACGCGTCATCGTTCCCGTGGAATTTACCTTTTTTATCAATAAAATTCCTAAAATAAGTGGCCTAGGTTACTCTTTAAAACATTAGCTATTTGCGAGTGAAAGACCTGTCAAAATTTGTCCAGCCGTCTGAACAATTAACAAGAACAAACAGACGGACAATTTTTTTTATGTAAGTAATTACCGTTATACACTTTCATATGCATTTAGTGAAAAGCTTTTAATTTGAAATTACAAACACTTCAATTTTTTTTATTTGTACAGATATTGCTAATTATTAATTTTTAAAGAGTATTACAATTAGTAGAGTTCTGTGAAATTTTTATATTATGTGATTTGGGTATTTTACCATGCAAAATATATTCTTGATACGAATTGAATTTAGTACGAATCGTCTTGTTAGCCCATAACTTTAGTATCTTGCGAAATACGTCGCTTATAAATGTATATTAAAGTAAGAAATAAGTTTTGAAATAAAATACTTGTTATAAGAGAATTTAGATTAACAATAGACCACTCAGTGCGTCGTTAGGTTAAAGTTACGGGACGCAATGAACTAAGTTTTGTAAACAAACACAAGTGAAACGCTAACTTTATAAAGTCAATAAATAGAAATGATTAAATACATTCTAGAAATATTGACTAATTATAATTATTCTGAAGTATGATCTTATTATTATTAATATTATAAACGCGAAAATTTGTGAGTGTGGATGTTTGTCACTCTTTCACACAAAAACTACAGAACGGATTTTGATGAAAGATTACAGTATTATAGTTTATACATCAGAATAACACATAGGCTATAATTTAAAAAGATATTTTGTAAAATATAATGATAAATGTCAAGTGGGATGCAGACGAAGTTGCGCGGGTCAGCTAGTGTTAATGTAAAAATGATACGGCTCGGGAAAATTGTGTGGAACGTGCGGCCAAGTGTGCGTGAGGCTGTGGAGCGAGGAAGTGAAAGTCTGGCGGCACCCACCGACCACGTGCGCGGCTGACACTTGCTGCCGCACGACGTACCACGCACTCGCCGCTCACATTACCCTGTTACCTAATTTCACTAAACAAGCACATCGTAATTTTTACTAATTGTACACCACGTCAATATCTCAAATAGGAAAAACATTAGATAAACAAAGCGAGAGTTCAACAATGTTTTCTATTGCACCACTTGTAAATCATAACGTTTTAACAATAGAGTTGAAATTGCACCATCCCGACCGCATTTCGATTGGCACGCGTGTGTAGAGCGTGCCGCTTGCCGCGTCACCGGGCCGCGGGCGGGGGCGCGTGCATTCGATCGCTGGCCGCTGCAATGGCATCGATCGCGCACGCCCCATGCTACGTCGCCGCAACTCGCGCTCTGATTGGCGGACGCCGCCGGTCACGTGACCCGCGCGCTGTTTCCTCATTGGGCGATAGTGACGGCGGCCACGTGAGCGGCGCGCGACGCGCGTGGTCAGTCGCGGCGTGACAGCGGGCGCGCTCGTACTGCGCGCGGCTGTGCCGCTTCCCGACATGAGCCTCCTCGATACCGCAAACACGCTCCTAGAAGCGGCGCGCTTCATCGAGCTACAGGAGCGGCGCCTCCAGGCCGGTAAGTGGAGTTCCATGTCCGTACCCGACCGGGGCCGGCGGCCGCCGCCCGGCCTAGTGTTTGCCGCTCTCGCCAGCCCACGTCACGAGTGAAACCGGTTCCTGGGCGTGCGCCGATTCGCGAGCGTCCAGTCGCCGGCGCGGCGGTGCAGCGAGCCGACGCCCGACGCTCTTGACCTTGAACAGCACGCAGCCGCGCCCCGCCCCCCGCGCACCGCGCCGCCGGCCTCGCCCCACGTAAACAAAGGAAGCCTGAAACTTACCGCTGGCCACGACGCACTTTTCATGCATAATCTATCCCACGCCTAGAATCCTAGCCGGCGACGTAAATTATACTGGTTTACTTGCATTGAGAGAGTTGATACAAAAGTAGACACAGAAAACAACAGTATTACGTATTAGCTAATCCTCGTGTCGAGTATTTTTCTAGCGCGAGTGGGTGGCAGGTAAACGGTTCAACCGCGGTGTGTACGTGGAGCGTGTTAGTCAACATTAAGTATGACGCATGATTTGGACGAGGCAGGCAGGCAGGGGGCGCTCTAGAGTTCGGTCAGCTGATCGAAGCGTGTGCCGGTGGGCGCGGGGCGACGGGGGCAGGGGGGAGAGGTGACGCAGCGGGCGCGGGGTGGGGTACATGTGCACACGCATCGCGAGGCACGGATAATGCGCTTCGTTTGAACCAATATAATATAGTAATTGAATTTATATAGTATACATCCTTCGAAATCTAGAAGTACATGGATTTTCAAATTTGTTTACCACAAGAAAAACTAGCACAAGGCACCATTGCGTAACGGTCGTGCGTGCCTCACTTGCTAAGCTATTGTTTAGTGCCTACGCTCCACTCGATAACACGAATGTCTCATTTTGCATTACAAAAACTATGATTGGTCTATTCGCAGTATTGTTAACTGAGGTATATAATGTATTCATGAAGTGACGATCAGGGAATAGAGTACCTGCTCTTTGGCTATAAAATTCATTAAATAGTTCTTAAGCTCAAACAACTACTTCGGCACTATATATATGTATAATGATAAAAATAAAGATTACGACCCAATCCATTAAAAATATCTGTACTTATACATGTCGCTACTAAATTTGTGTTTTATTCTGATAAGAATAATAAGTAAATTGATAGAAATTGACCTCAAATCACTACACCACAGTTTACTGGATAAGTTATAAATATTGTCGCTGTAGGAGGGACGTTTAATGCATTTCGATTCAAGGACGAGGTTCGTCTGGCATTAACTTGTGTTATCGTTTTACACGACCCTTATCTTTGTGACCACTCACTGTTGCCTCTAATGGCGTGGCTGACCAACTTTCCTACAGTATGTACCGAAACGTGACTACATTATTGATAAATCATTTAGGCGTTACATCAACGAGAAACTGTAAAAAATGTAGAGGCCATAGCTATGTTTTTGTCCACATTATTATTGAACGAGGAATTACTACTAGTATTGAATCCTTGATTTTGTTTTCTCAAAATGATGAACACATAATTCCTTTCAAACGATTTTATCATTATTTCATAGTAAGTTTACTGAATTTGTCTGTGTTTGAATTCGATAATAGACTACAACTAAAATAATAGCAGCTTTAGCATTTCAAATTTGATCTTTATGGTGAAAGACCATAAATGAGATTTATTTTGTTGCTTGTTCCAGAAGTCAGATAATTCTTATTCTTCGTAAGTTTTGAATGTTTTGCAATAAATATTAGTAATGCTTGAATCCGGTTTACTTCAAAATGAGTCACTTAGTAAATTTAAAGCAATGAAGGATTTTATTTTCTATTGCATTTGTCATTAGGGCAACTTTTCAATTACTTGAAAAAATACAATCAGACGCATATATTTATGGTAAAAAAGCTACTCTAGAAAGTGAGAAAATACATTAAAAAGTTTTCAATCTAGACTAATGAATTTTATGAAAATTGTTGTTTAAATGTTCCTCAACTTTAAAACTAAATACACAAGGTTCTTTGCAATAAAATCTTAAAACGTTGCATGTAGGTGGTAAACAAGTAATTCCGCTGTGTTTACTGGCTCGAATCTTGCATCACAACAATGTGTAGTCTCCGTTTTCTTAGCTCTAGCCACTTGTATGGCAGGAATGTAATTAATCCTTCGAAATCTAGTATCTGCACCTAAAATTTTAACGACAGTAATAAAACTATGTCATTGTTTAAATTACATGCCTATTATGAATAAAGTAAATTGTTTCATCAACTATTATAAATCATAGCTCAACTCATTTGATACAAGTTTCTAATTACAAGAAGCCGTCAAAATACTGCGGGGCTATTAGGTGCGGTAAACAATCGTATCATCAAGGCTTGTAAGTAAGGTCGCGGCGACGGTACCGGGCATTCAGAATGGTGAAAGGGATCGTGTGACCTCGCCATCTGCGACTGGTCGGTGAGGACGTGTATACACGCTTGTAGTATATTGAACCTCCGGAGACATCGTTTTAGCGGCGGCCGGTCGGTCGGGCGGTCAGGCGAGCAAGCTTACTGGCTCACAGGCGATGGCGGCGCGTACGAGAAACGATTTGCCCATTAGTAACGATTATACCAGCTACTGGTTTTAGCGTTGGACAAAAAAAAATATACTTAGATGTTAATTAATATTAATTAGATTTAGTTTTACAACTTCTTACCTTCAATCGATGTTACATCATCTATTGCAATGTATGAACGTTTATACTAAAGTCTGGAAATGTTAGAATGTTCCATCTTTATTCAGAATTTAGTAATATCATATTAAAAACTCTAAACTCTACAGAAGGAGATCGAAAAACCTTTTCGAAAGCGTGAAATAGTTATAGGTCATACTCTTGGGAGAGACCCTTGCTCTGCATTGGACCCTCAATGGGTCATTATGGTTAGATCGAAATGCAGTATACAAGAAAAACTTTAGTCAACACATTTCGAATTACCTCTTTTATATTAAATACCAATGTACTGCAAGTACTTGTACTTGGTGGTCTTGTCTTGTTATAGGGACTTTTAATTAACACGAAGAAATTATTTTTTACGTTTTTTTTCTGATAAGGACAGACATTGTAGACTTGCAGTATCCCCTCATAAGGCTCTGGGTAACGGAATCGAAACCAATTATTATTCACACTTGGTAAGATCACGTTGAAAAACATGAAATTTTATACATTAATAAACTTGATTTTCAGAAAGTTTTCTGAACAAATACTATTAGAATTGTAAATAAAGAGTCGACAGCGCGATATTGAAGAGAAATGTTTCACATTAGATACGTATTGCCTATGTATTAGGAGGTTATGTAACGGTAACTATATAGACCCGTTAGCTGTTGAAATTTCCAATGAACTCGATTATTTAATCCCTATACATATATAGAATTGGTAAAGTGTCTTCCTCTATGTTCTTTCCTTTCTATTCTATTCCTCTACTATTTTATGATTTACTTTAGTTAAGAAAATTATGTTGTTCTAGTTCTAATACCTGTTCTATAGACAGATGTACTTTAATGATCTTTTTATTATTTGTGTTTCATAATGCAATAAATAAAAAGCTACAGATTCTTCTAAGTTCACGACTGACAGTTTATTAAATGTTATATCTATTAGTCTGTACTAGTAGAAATAAGTGGATTTAACTTTCTATGGTAGTTTAATATGTATTTATTTCGGAGCCTTGTCTAAAGTCTTCATGAAAACAAATTATTGTAATATTTTTTTCCATTTTTTGAGTGAAAGTGCTTTTATATTCGTCAAATTACAATTTATAAAGTATAAACTGTAGTTGTGGATTTATTTTATGCACAAATTGATGATATTGACACTCTCTGGTATAAGAACTAGAATTCTTTGCTTTTTGAAAACTGCCTGTTAATGGTATTGTCGCAAGAGTTTTGCACGAAATATCTATTGTAGTTGCGTAACGTATACGTGATTTTACCAATAAATCACTAATTCTTTACCTAAATTGTAATGTGATACTTTAAACAGTTACTCCATACTTCGAGCAAATATAGGACTTAAAATCAATTGCCTAAAGTCTCAAATAATTTGTATATTTTTAGCAACATTTAGTTTGTTATTTTGGTCTTGTACTCTTTAAAAGAGGTTCAAATTTTATAATGTTCCAAAGTTGTATACTATCAAAGGATAACTTATCCTCAGGGTAGTCCAATCCATTCAATACAATTTCAGATTTTTCTGGTTACAATGTCTATTAATCAGGTAGCTTTCGCAGAACGCAGACGGCCCATATCTACATCCGGTGGGTGGCGTGACCCCCTGACGATGTTTCCACTTGGATTCTCGTGTCGCTAAATGTTTTATTATTGATTGACTTTTTATCATCACAACATGTATTAAACATCAAATCATTTATTTTTTTCCCGTCTCGTATGATTTGTTTGAATTTATTCAATATTTTCTTTTTGATATTAATATTGTATCGGAATTAATTAGTCCTGCAAAGTTCATTTAGTTTTTTATTTATATATTTTTGTTGCGAACCTGCTAAATAATAGTTTGATGTGATTATAAGTCCTCCATTTCGAGATCTACTAGCTGAATAAAGATTAGATATCCTACTCAGAATGTTTTTTATTCCAATTTCATAATCAGTCCTGATAACTAGTAATCACATTCGAGAAGCAGAATCTAGGCATGATGCTAGGCGGCAACAACCTGCGTAACCGGCAGGTGTGGTTACAAGAGGACGTGGAGCGATGGGAAGTGTTTGTGCGGCGGTGTTCCCCGGCCGGGGCGCGGGGCGCAGCCCGGGCTGCACGCTGCACCGCACCAAGGTCAGCCGCCGCACGCATGCGCCACCCTCCCCCCTCCCCCACTCCCACCCCGACCTGTCCCCTAGCTGCCACCATATCGGAACCTGCACCCACCGCGCTTATGTGCTCCTGTGAGTTGCACTCCAATAACACTCACCCAACTCTCCCCATTTTTCCCAGTTGTCGCGAGTTGCATTGTTATATTTTATATACCATAT